CTCTCTGAGTTCCAGAGCGAAAGGGATAGCATAAATTCCAAGTTCGACCACGATTCGCAACTTCTCACTAGGCTCCAACGAGCAAACGTTTATAATGATACATTTTCAATACACCATGACGGTCACTTCGCAACAATCAACGGGCTCAGGCTTGGCAGACTATCGGCAAAGCCTGTAGACTGGCCGGAAATCAATGCCGCTTGGGGTCAAGCATTACTACTGGTCGTCACCGTTGCCGATAAGCTAGGGTACAAATTTGAGGGTTACGAGCCACTACCCATGGGTTCGACATCCAAGATCATCCGCTACGATTACCCATCCCCATCTTCCAGCCGGCTAGGCGGACATCGAAGCGGGCCTCCACCAGGACCTAAGAAGACCGTGTTGGAGCTATTCTCCTCGGGCGACCTTCCCCTGCAAATGCTGTGGAACCGCAAGTTCGACCAAGGGATGGTGGCTTTCCTAGAGCTCGTCAGACAGCTTGGGGTCTTCGTCCATCAACAAACGAAAGAAAGCAGCAGTCGGGGCGAATACGCAGCAACCCCGCTAGCGCTCCCCTACAAGATTGAGGGAGACAAGATCGGCGACGACCGGATAGGCCACTTTAGCGTCAAGTTGGGCATGAATAACGACGAGAGCTGGACGAAGGCGTGCAAGTTTGCGCTTACCTGTTGCAAGTTTCTGATTGCACACGCGAGCAACGTGAGTCATATGTCAAACGGACGTTGAGTTCTGGCTTGGCGTTTCGTTTTTGCGATGGGCTAGATTAGGTAGAGATGGCGTTTGGCGGTGCGGGAAACTAGCAAGAGCCGTTTTACACTGGTGTCATGGCTACCTAGGTAACTAGGGTATTAATGTTGTTAGAGTCATTGTTTACTAGATATCCAAAGTATACATATTTCAGGGTGCTGTATTTATATCCGGTCTTTATTGCTTATCACCCTATGTTTTTTGTTGGGAAAACCTTGGGTGATGTCACGGCGGTAATTATAACAGTCGAGCCTCAGATATACCTGGTAAACTCCAGGATAGCTATCTCGATATAAAGTCTTTGATATCTAAGTCTATCCACCCCAGCCTAGTATGTACTCTTGTGTCTTTGGACACAGCTAAGTATTATAGTGAGTTAATCATAAACTGTGATTGGGTACTAATGGACAAGAGCTGTATCTCCTGCAGAGTATGGCTCACTACTTTAACTACTCAAGGTCCTAGGGTAGACCTCAGATAGCTAATAGTAGCCCTATACTCTGTATAAGACTAAAGTTTTACTGCTCAATCAATAAATAAATAACAGGAATAGCATAGTTAGTAGATATAATAGTAGATAATAGGTACTGGAGACTTAATAATAAGAGTATATTATACTATATAAGAGATTGACTATAAGACTAGGTAAAGTAAACGTAACAGTGTCAGTCGTAGTCATTAGGTCCTCATCAGGAAGAATATCTTATCAAAGTATTTGCGGGCTAGAGAGCTATATAACACTACTCTATGATACCTCCCTGTAACACTGCACCTGTCCACTGATTGGAATATAGGCTCGCCATGCTAATACGGCCCTAAGATAACTCAATCGCTTAACTCCAACATTGCTAACTCAACACCCCCATGTATTCTGTCTTTGGCTCAATAGAGAATGATGCCTCATAGGTATATAATAACGCAACATGCTTCACCGGCATTGGCCATTACCCCTTGTCTCGATCAACCGCTTTACCCTAGAAATAAGATCCCCTCAATCATCCCATAGAGTGCAGGAAGTTATCACGGCGGCACCGACCACAGCTGATGCGGCTATTGCATTGGCGTTAGTGGCGGGGGATAGACCAACGAGTGATCTGAGCAGGTTTGTGGTGACGACATCAGCAATGGTAGTGGCGGTAGTGGTGTTAGTGGTAATGGTGGCCGTGTCGGGATTCCAGAGACATTTACATAGAACAAAGGATCTATTCAGTACGTATAGCCGTGGGTCCCCATAGTTAGCTTAAAGTTGCTTGCATAATAGTAAAATTGTTTCCAATGTCTCTTTTCCCACCCCGTGCTAGGCTCGGTTCTTGTCGATCACATTGCTTAAAGTTTTAGGAACCCCATGCAGTTTTGATACGGACCTCCGTCTTTGCTAACGGGGTGAATATTATTTTAAATGATGTGACCGTCTCCTACATTTTTGATTGGTGAGATGCCATCAAACCTGCTCCAAAGCTTCTATGCAGGCAATACCCTAAGAGTGCCGAGCCGAGCGGTAATAATTAGATAGGGGCATTAAGCCCGGCCCAGACTAATCCGGTATTGTCGAGAGCTTGTCAACGAGATTATAGTTTCTGTAAAGTCTGAAAGTTGCTTGATAGGATCAAAAAGGCTTTGCCAAGGGCCTTGTTAAAGACCAAATGTTGTGGTAGTGCTGCTAGGTTGTTTCTTGACGCCTGAGCCAGTTGAATATATAGTCAGGAAATAACCGTGTTGGATTGACAAGGTTCAATAATGTATAACGTTATACTCGAAATATGGGTTGGATGATGCTTGATTAAAGGATTATGTACGATCTATGACTTAGGTTGAGAATAGCTAAGGTGTAAGTGGGGCGAAGCCCCACGCCGATCACATGACAGTTGTCATGTGATCCCACTCCCAACAAACCGAATGAATAATAAGATGGAGTGGCGTGTTAGAGTTATTAATTTTGAGGTATGAAAGTTGTAGTATTATTGTCGTCGGGTAGTTTTTCATTAAATGTTGTGGGAAGCATGGCTTTCTTATATCAATTTTGGGTATTTGTTGAGGTTATGAGTCATGGTTGCCGTATGTGTTTTACCTTCCGAGATAATTAAGTTTGGTTCATAAGGTTGTTTGTTTGTTCTACCCTCAGTGTAGGAAATGCTTGGGTACCTGCCCTGTTTATTATACAAGAGGTGGTGTTTTTAGATCGCTACTGCACTATGCCATCTTCATTAAAGGTAAGAACCTTCCTTGGTGGTTGAGTCACACTTGGCTACACCAGTACATGCCGCTCAACTTATTTCTTGAGGAAGCTGCTATTTCATGTTAGGGCACCGTGCATTCTCCCTTTTCCTGTATAATAGGTACCTAGGTACCTAGGTAAGTACGCTGCCTATTTGTCGCATCCGATCTGTTTTTCTTCCTCTCTTTCTTTTTTAACAACCCCCCTCCTCACATTCCTCATGGATTAATTTCTATTCGTCTATCTATTTATACTATTCTACAATGAACTTCGGGTCTCGAATACCCTATATGTCTTAATTGATATGGGGACGAAGAAGCTATGTTGAAACCTCTATAATTTCTATCAAAAAATAACCCCATTCCCTTCAACACGGATCTGGGATACTTCGTTATCTACAAACTCTCGACCTTATGTCAACTACATACGTCTTTCCTGCAATCGTAAGTATGGGCTATTAGTCTGCCACATATAATTTCGAAAAATAACTAACTAATTACCTAAAAGACTGTATAGTCTTGGCCGCAGCGCTTGTGGATATTGCTCCGGAGGAAGAAATTGAATACGATCTAGTCAGCCAGTCCAACGCCCATCCCAACGCTGGTTAGACCGACAAAAAGCCGGACGGCAAGGCAGGGTACGAGAGCTTAGACGATCGTATGGGTGCCTCGTCATTCAACGACTGCAATATCAGGACAGATCAATACTCTTATCCCAGAAACAGTTCAGCGATAATAATTACAGAACTGAAACGAAAACATATCACCACTAAAGAATATTTTGACTAAATCATGTACCAACTAATCCAGTACGGGGCCGTTCATTCCAGAGGCCTTCGCGATGATCGTCCCGAGGTATTAATTATTAAGATCAGCTTTGGAACTACGTACGTACCTAGCTACGCCATCACCCTTCATGCTATCCAATTGCTCACACTAGTATATGTCCTCAGGTTGGATCCAAAATACCCTATAATATAATACTGGACGTGATAGGGTATAGAAAACTCCGTCGCTATTATCTTGTCGCTAGGACGGGGGCGCAGTGAAACACTCTCAAACGGGAGCTACCTGAAGGTTGCTAATTCCTAATCAATCACTATCCTATATTCAATATTAGGAGCGGGCAAGGAAGACAGTGCACTAGAACTATCTTGAAGAAGCGTGGTATTCATGATGGATTATCAATGCTAGATTTAGGAAGAAACACAGTCCTCACTAAAAGAACAAAGGGCACTTTCAGTATGTGTAGCTACCAGCTGCTATGGTTGTCCCCAATTTCTGGCTAAAGATCGGCGTATTCTTAAGAAACGGTAATTTGCGACGAACACAACCTACACTATTTATATAAACTAATAACGAGGAAACCGAAAATAAAGAAATGCCAACCCTCATATTAATACGTTCGGAACTTATCGTGGAAGGTTTAATAACGAGGACGTTATTATAGGTAGGTACTTAGGTATTATCCAAGAAGAAACTCTTCAAGCCTATCATTGCTAGTTTTCATACAACTGCCAAGCCTTACTACCTAGTAGTACATTGACCTAGTAAGTTGTTATAGTAATTTATATTCTTTGGATGACTATTTAGTAGGTACCGCGTTTAGGGGACGCTTTGCTATATAGCAACCTGTATATATATATACATGTGGGCACTGATGGCCTTCGGAAGACCAACAAGAAAGGGGGGGGCCTAATGCGCTAGTCTCGCTTTAGCCCCTATCTAATTAGATTTACATAAAAGCTAACCATTGTCAACTCCTTTTTGCTAGGTTAGAATCTTGATTCCCTAGACTTAGGTGAAATATTCGAATATAAGGTAATTTAAGACCCGGCGCTTTAAAACTACCAAACCCTATGATTTGCATAGTTACGTTGCTAAGGTTAACCGGTCATAAAACCCTAAACTTAACCAATCACCTTTACCTTTTCTTCAATAAAAGCAAAAAAGTAAGCCCTACTACATAAGTATAGCTAGGTAGTGTGTAAAACCCACAACACTAAATGGGCACTGCATGCAAAAAGCTAACTAGACGCCTCAGGCGGGGGTCGAACCCGCAACCTTGGGATGCCTCTATAATAGATAGTCCGGAGAAGCCGGTGTTTTCCTATTTTTTTAGGAGGTAAATTATTTTTTATAAAAGTCCCACGCTCTAGCCAATTGAGCTACCAAGGCGGTGGGTTTCCGGGGTTTGGGTAACTCCGGTAACCATTGGGTTTTCATCGCGGTGAAGAGGCTTCATATATGTACCTGCTTAGGTTAGGTAGGTACCTAGGTGCCTACATGTAGATACTTGTCTAGCAGTTAGATCACATGTAGTATATATAGTAGCTGTTTGCCGTGGAATTCATAATAACATATTACTCTACCTAGGTATACGTTTAGACATTAGTATAACTGGTTCCTCTTCTCAACACCAGATACCCTATCCTTAAACTACTCCCTCCCAACCCTAGCCCAACCCGACCCATCCTAGCCTAACCAACCCAATCCGATTCAACCATTCCCATAACACGCCTTGCACCTATTAATCCAAGCCGGCACCATGACAATTAAACCACCACATCAAAGCCTCTTGGGCCCCCTCCTCGCCATCATATCATAGCGGTCCGGGAACAATATCCCATTCGCCAGTCTCAACAGCTCTGCCTCAGCCCTATCCACATAGCCTGCTTTATCGTCCCACGGCAACAAGCCCATGGACCTGAGGCCCTCCTCTCCACCCGCATCGTTGACGTCCTGGACACCGGGTCGGCCCATGTACTCGCGCTCGCCGCGACGTCCGCCGCTCTCGAAGTCGGGCGCTGGGTCACCGAGGAGGAACGCTTTGCGCTGCCGTGCTAGATACAATGCGTTGGTCTGCGTTAATGGACACGCGGGGACGTACAGCACGCTGGAGTCTGATACTCCGGCGTGGATGGCATCGGGTGCGTGTACAGCGTCCGGGTGCCACAGCACGTAGTCACCAGGCTCGACGTGTGGGATCGACACCATCGTCTTATTCAGTCTTAGATGCGGGTGTAGAGCATCACTTAGTTCCTGAATCCCACTTCCTGGCACGGCGCCTTGGATAACGCTGTTCTGTGCCACGTGTAGTTTCCAGTTATCCTCGTGGAGGAAATTTGGGCCTGACTTGAAGCGTGGAGAGAAGAAAGGACGGAGGAGAAGATAGGCGGTTGTGAGTTGGAGCATGGGGCAGGCGAGCAGGGACCCGCCGCCAGGCGGGATCGAGGACAGCGAAAGCCAGCCTTGGAACATTCGAAACATACTGCACGAGCCCGCGCCGTTGTAGAGGTCCGAAGTCACACGGAGACGAGTACCGCTATCCCAGGGGTCGTATTCTTCCCATCGTCCTTGGAAGATTTTGGCGTAGGCACCTGCACGTCCGTATCCATCTGACTCCCACCTCTCTACGCTCCCGTTATCTATATGCGGGCCAGATGCGAGGAAAGTATCGCCGGGTTTCCGCATTCTGATGCGGTCCGCGTAGGCCACGGCGTGATTGCTACTCACGAGGGCCTCCTCATTATTCGAATGCCACACTCTCATGACAAATCTCTGTACTTCGAGTAGCCGTGAGTCAGCGCGGGCTCGGACTTGCCCCGGACTCCAGAATAACTCGTATAGTTGCGGGTCATGATACGGGATGCCTTTGATAGGCGGGTTATGCCTTTGGTACTCCTGTGTCTCCTCCTTCCATGACACGGCTACATTCGCTGGAACAACCCTTCGTATGATAGCAACGCCTCTCTCCTTTAGTGCGTCCCGGAAAACGGCTACTTTACCTAGGTCATATATATCTAGGTAGTCGATCGACGGTATTATATCGGACCCAACGGCTGTGATGCGTTCTGCCTCTTTTCTCAACCGGCCAAGAAGGCGATAGAACGAATCGGCAACTGCTTTCTCGTTACCGGCAATTAATTTCCGCTTGATCTTGGCGAATCGTTCGGGAAGCGGAATAGGATCCAAGTCTGGTAGAGATAAGTCGACTGCCATTACTACCTACTTCTATCGCGTAAGTTCTGATTAAACTTTATGATTTCGTAGCAAGGTATATGAAAGGAATTGCTCTTTTCCCAAAAATTCAAAGCAGAACTCCTTGTTACCTAGCTAAAACAAATGTACAAGTAGGAACTCGTATGGGAAAGCCATCCTCTTAGTAGATAGAAGAAGGACAGCGACGACACACACCCGTGGGGGTGCATAAGCTCCTGTGGGGGGCATGAGTACTAGCCATCTGTAGTCGGACGGCGAAGTAAAAGAGAGGGTTTGCTTGGGTCGTCTGGATATGGAGCGGCTATACTAGGTATTGCTGGGCATTGAGAAGCGTAGACCCACGGAGTGGTCTAGAAGGGATCGAGGAAACGCAATCAGACGTTGTCACGTTGTCCAACGTTGAACTGCATCTGATATCCTGGGTGCGTTAATCTTCGGCAACAGACTCCGAAATAGAGATCTCTTGGCTTGGTACCCAGACCCTGGCACCAATTTACTAGAGCCGATACGGGTCTAGGGCGGCTTGGCTATTGGTTAGCCCAATGCGGCTCCTGAATGACGCTCCCACGGGCCGTTGGACCGATCATACGCTGAGTAGGCTGACATGTCAACAAGACAGAAAAGCCTCAAGCATCCCGGATATGCTAGACAGCCTGCCGGGCTCACCGATGTCGTATCATTTACATTCGTCGAAGATTACACGAGAGCTTATGCAATCATGTAAATTGAGATGCAGTTCCCGGCCTCCCAGATTGCATTGGTGTGGCGGTTTTGGAATGGTTGAGAATTCTTAGTGGTCCCGTAGAGTACATTGAGTATATTGATTGCTTAGCTTTCAAGAGGCTTTACCTCGTTTTGATCGGCGAACCTGTACTTGATGATCCGTGGCGTCGTTGGAGATATTACTCTTCCTCTTCGCCGGTTTCTTTGGTGAATCCACCTGCGCAAGTTTGACGTCGGACGGGGAAGCAGTCTTTGCATTCCCGGACGTCGCATCTGATGCTCCCTCATTTATTAATACGTAAGCCACTTTCTCAACATCAACAGCATCAACCCCTAGCCGTTTGACTAACACCTGGGCTGTAGTGCTTAACTCTTGGTACTCTTTGATGTTATATTTGATGGGAGGCTTCTCTCCCTTACAACATAGCCAATAGAATACTTCGTCCGAGAAAAAGATGACGCCATGGGGGTCGTACACCGAGAGCAAGAGAGATGCCGTAGCAGGACCAATCCCTTTCAAATTAGTGATGGTGCGTAGTGCCTTAGGCGCATCTAGATTGGTTCGATACTCTTCTACTGCTTCCTGGATAATGCGCTCGACAAGTGCGTTGTCATTTGAGGAAACGAGTTTCATGAGGGTTGGGCGGAACTTGCCATGGCGCCTGAACTAATAAGTTAGAGCCAGGGCGGCCCGAGAATAAGACGTGCCGGATGGCGATATTCTAGTAAACTAGACTAGACTTACAGCTTCCAATCAACCAATGCTTTAACATTGTTAAGCGTCATTGTGCTCTTTGACTCCTTTGAACCATATGTGGTGACAGCATCGCGGTATCTGAATTGATCTAGCTCCAGCAGTGTCTTTTGACCGGGCTTGGCTGTTTCTAATGATTAGCCCAGCGGATATTAACATTAGGTATGTGACTGTTTCGAACACGTACCGCCTTTAGCTGACGATATCGACTCAATTAAAGGCTCATATCTGCCTAATAGTTGCTGGAATTTCTCAAGCGAGATGTTGCTTGTGAGTAGGCTTTGATCCAGCATTTTGATTGATCGTTTAATATTCTTGCTAAATGTGAGATTGATGACGCTTAACAATTGCTCTTTGGTCATATTTTTACTCAATACTGGACTGGGTCACGAGTGATCATTTACTTGAAACAAGACGACCTCATGTGTGTTGATATATTCTAACCTGGGTTAAATGATGAGGTAGTGATAGTTAAACTAATATGTAACGCGTCAAACCCGATCTGTCCTAAATCACATAAGGATGTGTTAGGTAATACACACATTTCTAACTTTCAGATAAAAGAGTGAGTGGCCCGTGTGTTTGCCCGAAACGTTCTAGAAGCAGGAACGGCCCCCAAAATAGATTTACATTTAACTTAGCGCCGAGACCCCTGCGCCTCTCTTGCATCGGCTCTAACCTAAGAAAAAAAGTAAAATCTATTTCCTTCCAAATCCATCCTGAACCCCCGAACTTTCCCATCTTTCGCAACACCTAACCGCCATTCCGAACGCAGTACCTCAGTCGCTAGTTAAAGAGGGTCTTTGCATTGCTATCGAGTCTACCTTCCTTTTTTCTTCTTCTACTAACATAATGGGCAACGTAAGTTCTCCTCTATCCGCGTCCCACGTTCCTATTCGAAGAGGGGAGGAGGAGCAGCAGCAGTCTGAAAGCCGGCCAACTCCGAAAATAGAGGACAACAAGATACTAATTCTCGCAAATAGGGAGCCAAGGCTGCGCAGAAGCGCGAGCGCAATGCGAAGGACAGCAAGGTCGCCAAGTCGCAGTTGAAGTCGGTAAGTCTTGATATAACGATCTTATTTCTAACGAAGATCATCTCCACTGACTTACCTGGGATTTCTTAGAATGTCAAGGCTATGGATATCCAGTGCCAGATCTGCAAATCGACCTTCCTGAAGACTACTCGTGCGCCTCAGTACGTAATCCCGTCCAAGATTTACCTAGCAGTGCCTACCTGTTAGAATTCCCTAGTTAACCGTATTCTCCTACAGGCTCAACGAGCACGCTGTTAATAAGCACAATAAGTCCATCGCTGATTGCTTCCCCGGTCACGACGCTCCTCCAGCCAAATAGACAACGATGATCCGTATCCATACGGAACGATCGAACAGGTGAACAATGGGCATAGCGATTGGCGCACTTGGTGTTTAGCAGAGATCTTACATGGGTGTGTTGCTATGAGGTCACGACGCGACTTTGATTAATGAAATTGCACTGAGTTAACTGAGATTTTCTCGCGTCTTGATGATTCGCATTTTGTATATGGTAGTGCACAGGTTATTATTAGTGTGCTTTCACTACCTGCACCTGGGTGTTGATATCTGCAACCCCTTCGCTCGCAGGCACGTTGGTATTGCTCGACGTTCCTTGGGCCTCTCTGGCCTGCTGCTCTCGTATGTCCTTCAGGATGTCTGGATAC